GCAATAGTCTCACGAACCTGAGCCAATAAATTTGCATAACACTAACCCATTCATCGTAGTTCCCTTAGGCAAGTAATCTATTAGCAAAATGCCTTCGTTAGCAGAAAAAGTGTTCGTCAAAATAAACAAACCCATTTTTTAACCATTGTGTATGAAGGCCTAGAATCCTGAAGAACCGAAGTCTCGACGTTTTTTTTCCTTTTTAACAATGTACTTTATTACGGCACGATGTTCCAAAATGTGAGAACAGGCACATTCAGTTGATATGACGTTGTTCGATGTTTCACTAAATATTCAATTAAGTCGTTTAAAAATTAAAAAATAGTAGTTTTAACTACTATACCTCCACTATAGAAATTATGGTGGAGGTATAACCAAATCTGGCGCAAAGTGTCATTGAAACTAGAATTCGATTTGTTTGGAATTAGATTGATTTAGAATTCGAAATAAACGCAACTATCAAACGAGTAGTAAATTGGTTGGAACAACCTTCGAATAAACTTATCAAAAACTACGTTTCTACAATTATATAAAGTAAATCACAATAAAAATCCTGCAAAACTCTCCAAAGCACACAAGAATAGTCCCATAGTAGAGTCAACCACAACGAAGTTTCTTGGCATCATGCCACACATTTGACCTGGACAGAACACGTTGAATTAGTTTGTGAAAAAATCAACAAATTTGTGTACGCAATTTACCGGTTAAAAAACATTTTTAACCAGAAAACTGCTTTGATGGCCTACCACGGTTATGTGTGTTCGACTCTGCGGTATGGAATTGTCGTCTGGGGTAACTCTGTTCACATAAGTCGAGCTTTTATCTTACAGAAGAGGAGCGTAAAGGCGATGTGTGGTGCTGGTAAGCGAGATAGCTGTAAACCCTTATTTAAAAAACTAAGAATATTGTCCCTTCCTTCTTTATATATATTCGAGATATGTATTTTTGCCAAAAAAACATAGTTATTTATTTACTTCAAAAATTTTTCCTTTTTTTAACCCGGTATCCCTATCGTTTGGCCCGACACATACACACTACTATGCGTTAAATTATATAATGTATTGCCTGAGGATATAAAAATGTTACCTACGTCTAGATTTAAGAAAATACTATTTGAATTGCTTGGGACAAATTGTTTTTATAATTTAAATGAGGTTTTGACATTTAAATTTTGAAGCGACCCTCTACATATTTATTGCTTTGACATGCGTTCCTCTTTTTTATTAAATCACAATTTTTCTTTAATTATGTTATTTAATGAACAAAATTTACTTTTATAATGTAATACGATATGATTTTTATTATATAAGTAATATGACTATGTGTAATAAATGCGAACATTGTGTAATATTTGCTATTAACATTTACATGCCAGTAAACTGAATTTACCGTGTATGCTTACAAATAAATATATCTCTATCTATCTCTATTTAGTATTACGTGTTTTTTAATACATGAACTTTCAAGGCGATTCGAAGTAAATAAAACGTATTGACTAATGTCGAGTTTTATTGAAAAATTTATATATACGAATTTTGTTCATGTTCGGAATATCAAATACAGAAGAAATTTTAAATCCGGGTTCAGTGTTGATCCGATTTACTACTTGCCGAACGATGAATTCCCACCAATTTAGGAAAGTTCTTTTTGTAACCAAGTTGGGCAACCTGTTCGACGCGAAAATGCCTACACCTCATTGTCACATTTTTATTTTAGTTGTACTTACAGGTTGTGAATATAATTTGAATAAATTAACGTGTTCTTCACAGCATTCTCGTGCTATATTGAAACAACCTATGTTAAAAACATTATTTATCATTTGATATCTTTATACCAACATCGCGTATTGGTAACAGCAAGGATTTTAATTGGATATATATCGGATAATTATCAAAGAAAATAATGATCATGATAATTTCGAACCAAATCAAAATATTATGTTCAGTTAACTGGAGATACAGACCAAAAAAATTTTATTATTATGATTTTGAATACTAAGAACATACAGCCTTTTTTTCCGAAAAAGTTATATAACAAAAAACAGGAGACTTTCGACGATTCGGTTACTGGACCCGTGGCTCAGATGGTTAGAGTAGTGCTACAATGCAGAATGGACGTGGGCTCGAGTCACACGCGGGTCGACAACATTTTTCTGTGTGTGTTTGATCTTTGCATCCATAATAATAACAAAACTAGCGGAGCTATTTCATAACAAATCTTAATAAACAATAAAAAATAGAATAGAATTTCTTTATTTCAGGCATAGATCCATACCTTTACTTAAATTGTTAGTAACTTTTCACTTAAAGTATTATACAACAGTACAACACAAAAACGATTTATTTAATATACCTACATAGAAACAGGTTTGGTTGGCTGGGTTTACCCAACCCAGTACATTAGAATTGGACCATCAAACATGCAACCATTTACAGGGTGCTGTTGGGAGTATTTCTGACATGATCCATAAGCGATACTATTTTTTTCGCATTATCGCTTGGAAGCCATCTATGTGAGCTTCTGCGAATATCCCTGACCCAACAGCATCTTGAAAGCGTTCTTTATTGTATTGTACATGTAGGGCGTTATAAGACATTTCTTATACTTAACCAACAGCAACAGACCACTCGAGTGAAATGATTGGATGTAAGTTTTGAATAGAGCTATTTTGCCGTCGAGCGCATGGAGCATCTCGCGAACATTCGAGCCTAGAGAGGGCGCGAGAGGCGGCTAAATTGTAACGCGGTGAAGCGAAAGAAGCCCTTGTCGGAGGCGCGGGATAGAAGAATGGAGACTAGAACTCCATTCTTCTGACTGCCATATCCTGCTCTTCGAACGAACGTTCGCTACATGGATCGTCACGGATCGGATTCGTCTCGAGGACGAAGTGCCTGGGGAAAGACCATGCGCCGCCGTCAGTATCTGTAATGACGGCAGCAAGATCCAAGACAAGTTTGGCGACGCTTTCACCGGTGAAGTAATACAAAATAAATAAAATTGTTTATTGAATAACTTATTGTACAAATGAATAACTAAAGACTAATTATGCGAATCAATGTAAAATATAATACATATACCAGGAGAATTCAGTATTTCAGGTAAAAAGTACTAATTATACAGGTGGATATATGATTAAATTATAAACAAAAAATAATTAAACAACAAAACGCAAATCAAATTCTCTGTATCATCGTAGGACATATTTTGAAGGAATTCTTGGAGAATTTTCTTAACCTATATGTCACAAAAATGATATATGGCCAAATTGCGGATTACGTCAATTATGTAATTTATTTAGATTTTAAGAGGGAGCCGGCCAAAAAAGTTTTGACGTTGGCTCCGCCCACATTTGTGAGACAAATATATGTCTGAAGTTCGCGTGATATGCGACAGGAGATGTTGAATTTTGCGCATTAAAAGTACCAAATTTGTTTTAACGGAATAACTCTAAAACTAAAGGGATTAAAAAAATCCGTAGTGACAGTTCTCGATCATGCGTAAATATAATTAATTATCTAATTTTTGTCCTAATAACCTGTAGCATTTCGAGGATGAATCGAAAAAATTTGAAAATTAGAGGTCATTTCGTGATTTTTATCTATCGAGGAAACTGTTTCTGATTAGTGTCTATGCTTGAACATATCGTGTAGTTACTCATACAATATTTTATTTTTAACTTTAAAGTGGATATACCCCTGTAAAATTAAATCGAAGATTAGGAATTTTTCCTCTGCTCCCTCTTAAATGAATTTAATTGTATTTAGATTTTGAATGAACAAATTAGATTTACTTACCATAAATTGAAAATTTACAAAATATAAGTAAGTAGAATGAATGCATATCTTTAACCCAGTTGTGCCAACCTAGGTTTGAGTCAATTGAAGCCATAAAAAACGGAACGAGAAAACGGGTACTAGAGATGTTTCGCAGAAAGGATTTGTAACAGTAGAGCTCCTTGTGAAAGAATTCGCCCAGGTAGGTAAGTACTGCCACCTTACCTATTGTTGCGTTTCGGTTTTGAAGGGTAAGGGTGCTGGTGAAATTACAGGCAAATGGAACTTGTCAACTTATGTCTCAGGATGACATGCGCAGTGGCAGTGCCCCTCAGATCTTTTGCGATTTAAAGCTCTGAGTGGCATAGCAACTTTTATGGACAGGTGTGTAGCTTACCATCAGGTCCACGACTTATTAGTCCCGCAACATGATATTACATTAAAAAAAAAATTGATGAAGAAGGTTAATTTACTTTTCATTTCTCATGCTCTTAAAGTTCGTATTTATGCTGGGTGTAGGCTGCATAAAATAGGATTTTATGCTTTAGTGCCATTTTAGTTCATAAAATAAAATCGTCGTTTAAGACCGAGGCAATGACGCTTATTACGCCAACAGCCACGCACACTAGAACTTTATAAAATAAAGTTTTATTATTTTTTTGATCCGTGTTATATTACAAAATTAAAAAAGTAGGCAATAGTAATTCTAATAAGTTATAAGAAATAGAAATGCATAAAAAAATAAAAGCTTGTAAAATATAGCTGAGCATTATGTAGTCTGTGTCCGTGTAGAAAATAATCGTTTATTTGTAATATTGCAGAGTGTATAACTCGTTCATAAAACCCATTTTACCCTCGACTTAAGTATCTACCCTCGCCTGCGGCTCCGGTGGATATACTGGTCTCGGGTAAAATGACGCGTTTCATGCACTTGTTGTACAATCTACTATTTATATAATTCAATATTCTTGTTAGTTTTCCTCTAGTCAAACAAGGCAAAAACCGGTTGAACGATCATTCAAATAAAATACATAAAGCATTACTGTTAATAAATACTCCACGGATATTCCACTTCGACGACTTTATTTACCGGTTATTTTTGGCAGAAGGCATCACAGTACGGTTGAACGCTATTCAAGGCAGACGTTTAAAAAACAAATTAAAAAGAATTATAACTTGAAATTCCATATTCAATTGTTATATTGTCTCTATTAGAAGTTTAAAATGAATCTGTTAATGTTAATGTCGGTTGCGGCGATCTCGTATCTTTGCGTTGTGGAAGGAAGTAAGTTTTTACTCCTATTTTCGTCACACTTGCTCGTAACTGGTATTATTACATGGTAGCTAACTTGACTATAATGCCACAAATAAAACTTTCGTACTGTATTGTCCCAATATCAATTATTAATAATTATAAGGACGTTGTGAATGAATGGACGGCAGCACATCAAGCCACATATTGACGGATCTTGTTCCGTTGCTGTTGGATACCGGCTGAATCCGTCTCAAAACGGACCAGAGTTCACTTCCAATTAAACTAAGCTTCTTATTCTTAAGTGGACTGACATAACGAGTATTGGTGGTGTCGATGCGGTAGTAACCACACGTGACACGACTTGACGCTTTTAAAAATCTATTCGCTTTTTTATTGTTTTGCCGCCAAAGGAATTGCGGCGGAATTTAGGTATTTCAACCTGCAGACCGGTGTGCAAATGTAATGGAATTTATTGTTAATTGCATTTTACGGTTAATTACATTTTAATATAATGTTAATTAGTATTTGTAAAGTCGAAATATTCTTTATTCCTATAGAAGCAATGTGTCAAAAGCCATTTTGTCAATTGTAGTTTAAAAGTACGTCCTTGTAGTAATTTGATGTCATTTGGTAAATTATTAAAAATCTTGATGCACATGTTGAAGCAGTTATTCGTATAAATTATTTTAAGACAGCGAGTTTGGTACAATTGATTCATAATTTCAGCTCTAGTTTGTCGTTGAATTATTTCGCCACGTATTTTGAAATGTTGAGAGTGAGTCTTGGCAAACACACATGTCTCTAACATACATGCTGGCGAGAGAAAGTATATCGAGTTTTTTGAGCAAGGGTTTGCATGTGTCGTCTGGTTTTGCGCCGCAAATTGCGCGAATACAATTCTTTTGTACTACAAACGCCCTACCCACATCTACGTAGTTTCCCCACAGTACTAGCCCAAAACTTAATACAGAGCAGACGTACCCGTGATAAGAAATCATAGCGGCTTCGTGAGATACAGTTTGTCTTAGCTTACATAGGCCAAGGACAAATTTATTCAGCCTATTGCACACATGATCAATGTGATGTTTCCACTTTAAATGTTCGTCAAATTTGATTCCCAGGAAACTAAAATAGTCCACTTCATCTACCACTTGTTTATTATAGTGCACTTGAATAGGCAACGGATTACAAGTATGCGATCTGAATTGCATGAATTTAGTTTTGCTAATATTTACGTTTAAGTCATTCTCATTTAACCATCTGATCACTGTATCTATCGCTCTATCGTGCTTCATTTATTTCCATTTCAAAGTTGTCAGTTTCAAGATCTCAGAGACCTAGGTGATGAATATCAGCATTTCCGGTTTTGATGTTGCTATTTGGTTAATGCACGAGTTTAGTCGTGTTGGAGTAAGTATATGGGCTCTAAAATTATAGTTTGTAGGGTACTAAGAAGATCTTTGGCTGCTAAATTTCGTTTCAAAATATCGATGTTCCAATCACCGCATATAACAATCTTTTTCTTTTTGAATTTTTCAGTGGGGTAAGTCAAAAGCATATTAAATTTAATAATTTATATTAAATTTATGTAAAAATATACCAACATACGCTTTCGATTGTTCAGAGATTCGATATATATATATAGGTATATGTGTATATATACATATATATATATATATATATATATATATCGAATATAGTAAGTAGTATAAGTAGTGTGTGCGTTATTATTATTATTAAAAAGGGTATAGGCTTGTAATCCAGATATTTCTGTATTAATATGCATGTACCACCTCTACTATTCCTACTACAGAAAGTGGCTGCTCGCTTGAAATTATTCAACTTTATATTACTTTCTGAGCCCTTTGGTACAAAAGTTTCACAAAAACATATTATATCTACCTCTCTACCCACATCTCTAAATTCCCTAAAAGTCATATCTAATAAATCTAATTTATTACAAAGTCCTGGAATGTTTTGATTAAAAATTAACAAATTGTCTTCACATAAGTTGTTTTATTGTTGATACAGTTATGTAGTTATCTGTGTTTGTTTTTGACGAAAAAGCTCGCCAGCGCCCATTGGACCTGTATCAGAGCTCCATTTTTCGATATATTCATGTAAATTATTCAATATAGTTTGTACACCATATTTATTTGTTGGTATGGTATCTACAATAAATTAAACATAGATTTGTTATATTCCAGGTATGAGTTGGAATCAAAAATACATGCGTAAAATATAACATAAAAGGTTATTAAATAATTATATTCTGTGATTCATCAAAACTTTTCCGAATTTGAACGTGGACATACATAAAATTATATTAGTATGGTGCAGTTTTTGTAAAATATTTCTTATACATTCCACTATTTTACAGTGCTGTTGAGCTTCGTGAAAATCAGCTTGGCCTATGAATATGACGCAGTAATCATCTAAGGTGAATTTTTTTATTTTGTGTTCTAGACCATTCAGAAGTTATAGAACTCCAACTTGTGTCCAAAAAAGTGACAAATTCTTTGATTTTAGAAGTTCCCAACTGCAAAATCAAGTATTATATGTTGTATATTTGTACTTAGTATACAAAGTTTACCTCGCCGTTCTTTAACCTTGCTGCTTGCTGAATTTTGTTGTTCTTTTTGTGCTTCTATAAGCTCGGAAGTTTGTAAATTTCGAACTTCAATGCTTGTATTGACTTCCATGTTTTCATTAGGCTTATCTTTTCTTGAATCAATTTCTAAGGTTTTCTTTATTTGTTCTACTTTATTTACATTAATAGTCAGTTTTCTTCCAGATTTTTTTTCCGAACTTGGGGTGCCAATTGGGTTTGACTTCAATAGACTTTGCAGTTGCTTAAGATAGATTTAGATTTAGTTGTAATTTTAGATATAAGTGTGTGTAGTGTTTCAAATTCAGTGAATAAACTTCTTTCTTTCTTCTTTCTTTCTTTCTTTCATTTAGATCAAGAAGATTTAGATTCCTTTTTGTCAAGTAATGTTTTTAATTAATAATTTTCCGTCGGTTAGTCGTCGGAAATTTAACGTCGGTTTGTTTGAAAAAACAAATATACGCGATTTAAATCCGGAAAAATAGTTTCATTTCCTATGTGTAACAATCGCGAAAACCTAAGAACTCGATAATAATTTTCCGCTAATAAATTTTCCATTTCTTGTTCTGCTCCTCGCAGTTTAAGTTCTAAATCAGTCTATTATTATTATCTTTCATTCTAGCTAATTCCGTGACACTACCTAAAGTTCGCATTTCAGGACGGCTTTGGTTTAGCTCAGTTGTTTCTCCAGGTACCGAATCTTCCCTTTTTTCATCACCATCTGATTCCACTGACAGAGAGGCGAATGAGTTATCTATTGATACATTAATGCCTGTTTGTATTTTTCGGTGTGTGATATTCTCGCTCTGTTCGGAGTTTCCTATGTCGAAATCTTGAGTGTAGCATTTTTCACACTTCCAATTGTCTTTGTGTGCACCAGTTAATGTGTTAAGAAATCTCATCTCTGAGACGGTAGTACAGTCTAGATGATACTGTTTCTCACAGTGTTTGCAAGTGAGTTTAGGGTTTTTGGTAATTTGATCTCTACATTTGACACATATAGCAGCCATTTTTGGAAGAAATATGTAGGTGCTGCCTCTCTTGGTCACTTATTGTACTAAAATAGATATTTTCCGATGCCTGATTGCATCGGTTGCATCGTTGCTGTCCCTGTTGATAGTTTTTTGTTCTAAAGTATTGCAGTTATTCGTCAATAGATCGTATGTAATGTGTTGCCCTCGATCAGGCAGTAGCGGTACCAGATAAAAATTAATGTGACATCTTAGTTTAGCTAGATTCCACTAGATAGCTTAACAATTTTATTTGATGTAGTATGAGAGTCCAAAGCCCGATTTCCGATAATTTCAACCGATGACCGTTGAGAATCGAAATTTCAAAATTTATCACGCTAATCACCAATATTATCACAGCATTGTCCACCGAATCTGAATATAGTCCATCGTTTGATGGACTTAGAGACTTACGTAGAGAGGCATTTCACTCTCTATAATATTTTTATATATTGGCGTATTTTGTTCAAGGGATAATGAGCTAAACACTAATAAAATGTTTTGTTTCTTTTATTTGCTAACTGATCACACAACACTTCACGAACACTAATCCAATAGATTTACATCATTTTACTTATTACTGTATTGGTTTTTCACTTCAAAACTGCACTTTTCTATTTTTACGAAAATTTTATCAAGGAGAGGTAAGATTATTTTTTTTAATGGTTTTACACTATTCCTAATTTAAATTACTCTAAAATATTTCTTTTGCAGAGTAGATTAATAGGTTCAACGGCTAATGATTTCAAAAGCACCCTGTATAAATAAGGATTTACGGGCCGAGGATTTTAAAGTTTTACTTGAAATTTACACAAATTTCGATGAGAAACAACAATAGCAATTACGAACTTCGATGGTGCCATTATAGTAACACGTACCTACAACCCTCGATAGTGTAATAAGCGGCTTACTTAGGGAGTCAAAAAGCTTTATGAATGTAAAGTTGGGCGAAAAAGACGTTGTGCGTTTCGCATTGATCCCTCCCCGCTACATCTCCTGGGCCCTTGTCCGATGCGCACGCCGCTGTCTATGACAGCGCGCCGTTTAACACACCATGTGGCCTGTCGTTCTTATTTTTACGTAGTACCTACAACGCAGCATCAAACGGCTCAACTTTCAGTATAATAAGAGTCTTATTTCAGGCGGCGAAATAACAGATATAGACCAATACCCTTGGGCAGCCCTAATCGAGTACCAGGATGACAACAAGATCAGAATTTATTGCGGAGGGGCTCTCATCAGCGATCGATATGTGCTCACAGCTGCGCATTGTGTCGTTGGACCCCATGTTAAGGCTAAACCTCCGTAAGTAACTATTTTCATGCTAAAATTTTAGTTATAGGTAATCTTCTGTGTTACTTCCACATCGCTAAGAATTGACTTTGAGAGTCTATTTTCCTTTTCACATCACACTGCCTTCAAGTCTAATTCCAAGAAATATTAGCAGTGGACTGCTGGACAATTCGTTAAGAGGGAGCAGAGGAAAATTTCCTAATCTTCGATTTGATTTTAGAGGGATATATCCACTTTAAAGTTAAAAATAAAATATTGTATGAGGAACTACACAATACATTCAAGCATAGACACTAATCAGAAACATAAAACAATAAAGTTTCCTCGATAGAGAAAAATCACGAAATGACCTCTAATTTTCACATTTTTTCGATTCATCCTCGAAATACTACAGGTTATTAGGTCAAAAATTAGATAATTAATTATATTTATGCATGATCGAGAATTGTCACTACGTATTTTTACGCTCCCTCTTAAAAATAGCTCATTTTCTATAACTACTTTGGTTGTAAAAGTGCTCGCCCCTTTGTTACATCCTTGCTTCAAATCCTTTATTCGATTACTTGTTTTTAATTTACCTCGTTTATTAATTGTTGCTTAATTACCAAGTGGTTCCTATTGTACGTTTGTAACTCGGATTATAAAATTTGCATTTACTCTATTCCAGCCGCAACGTGCGCCTAGGTGAATTCGACCTATCAAACGAGGTAGACCAGCCAGACTGTGTAACTATCAACGGAGGCGGCTCTGATTGTACTGAAGGCGCTGTCGTGATACCTATAGAAAAAGTCATCTCACATCCGGATTACAACAATAATGATAGGAAGACTAGGAAACATGATATTGCTTTGATACGCATGAGTAAATCAGCGCCTACTGATTCCGGTAAGCTAATAAGAATACTTAATTTTATAAACAACTTCTAACCTGAATGAAATGCATCTCAGTGTGACAGGAGATATCCAACTAAAAGAAAACTTTAGGCCATAATTTAACATCCGTGAGACGTAACATGCCCTCGAGTCTTACTTATCTTTGACGAATTACGAGGTTTTCTTTCAACTTTAAGACGTATTACATTTAATCATCTATGTTAAAAAATTGTACTCGGAAAAGCGTCCTCGGATGTACTGGCATCCAATATGCAATCGCCAACTTGTCAAGCGTGGCCATCATAACAAAACCAAGAGACCTAGTTCCCGCCGGACACGCTTTTCCTGGCTACAGAGCAGTCATGGTAAACGTTCTGTAGCTGAAGTTAATCCACGGCAGATGTCCGGCTATCACAATTACTGACTCTACTACCAACAAGGTATTACCCAGTGAAGACAGTGTGACTCGATAAATGCAAGCAGAGCTAGACCAGTCGTGGTGACAATTTCAGGAGAAGCCTATGCCGAAAAACCAACAAGCTGGGCTACGCTAAGAATTAAACTTATAACCTTATGCTTAAGTTACACGTCCCCTTTTACTACATCTTTGATTGCGCCTGAGAGAGTTTCTATTTCTCAAACATTTAACAAAAACATATTCTGATTTCAGACTTTATCCGTCCAATCAGCTTACCTACATCCGACATAACTTTATCTATACCTTCCGGCCAGCTGCTGATCGAAACAGGTTGGGGCCTTAGAAAATCGGGGACATTAAAAGTGCATGTGAAAATACCGTTTGTGCCACTTTCTGTAAGTATTATTTGACAGCTCCATTGTCAATTACAAAATAATATATAGTCATTTTTACCGTTTCGATGCCTGGTAGAAGAAATTTGAAACTTTAAACGTTAATTCGTGCTTGGTTGTTCTGTTTGTGCTCACGAGATATTTCGCTAAACTGAGTCCCAAGTCTGCTAATTTTAAATGATCTCTTTTTAAATTTAAAAATTTTAAATTTTAAATGAACTTTTACTTTTGTATTGAGACTAATTTACTCGCTTTAGACGTCTGCAGTAATCACCGATTTCGCTACATTCCAACTACCTTTTTACCATTCCTTAAGCCTTTTCAAACCCTGTTAGGCCCAGATGAAACCTCTCTTTCTGTTCATTACTAAAGGCTCCCAAGATTCGAAGCGAATAAGAAAATAGGGAGTAGACAAAATTGATTTTTAACGAGATTCAGCATCCCATTATTTTTGCCTATGCGTGTAACAAATTATCTACAAAGGGTGCCACATTTTTGTATCTGTGATTACTCTAATTACTCAAAAAACCTTTTACTACAACCTTTAGTGACGTCCATGATAATTATGATAACAATAGGGTGCTAGATAACCATACCAATATCCTGGTCTCAGCAGCTCCCTGTACTGAGAGTACCAGAGCAACGGAATTCATTCTGAACACCCAGGACACCCAAACCACAACCAATTTAGATAAGTTAATTTCCCAAGTTGATCCTACTGTCTAACCCGAAACCATCTCATTCTGCACCCTCAGTGCAAGCCGTTGAGCCACCGAGGTCACCTTGTAATCGTTGTAATAATTACTACGTTCACGCCACAGTGTCGCTTAGTGTAAAAGTCATGAATGTTCTATTTCTATTCTGCCAAGACAAAAGATTAATATGTAATTTGTCCAAAATTTTACTAATTTTTCGTATAATTTTATTCCTTGCGACTTGTGTACTGTTCACACGTGAAAAAATCATGGTTTGGTTTAATTTTTGTACTCGCAAATACCACTTTTTTAAGTGTTCATGTTGTAAAACTAAATAATTACGCTCTCAGATATTTTATCACAAAGATACTAATATCACATTAATAGCGTTCGTGAACCTTTCACTGCGTAAAATCAAGATAGTTAAAAATTATATCGGCCGATACCTCAAAAACTAGACGTGACAGGAACATAAGATATGTACTATACATACCATAGGTAATAGTAATCTATTACAGGTATCAAAGACAGTGAGTCAAAGGGTAGTTGCCAGTGGCTAGCCACCGACCTACTTATTACTAAACTGCAGTAGCATTTTTTTGGTATTCTGCCGTTCAATGGCGAGTGGATTGCACGCCAATGGCGTAGTCTACTAATTATTTAACATAAAACATACATTTTTCAAATTAAATTCAAATTGCTGATCAAACGAGACAAAAATTGAAGGAAGAGTTCATGAAGAAGAATTTTGGCCGAAGGGTGTCATGTATCGGCAATTCCGCGGTCGGTTACCTGACACCAGATTGCGCCACACGAATCCTTGAAGCGAAATTATTTAGAAAAAATGTTTTATAGAAATAGAAATAGAAATTATTTATTCAATGTAAAGCACAGCACACATACAATTTACAAACAAAACAAAAACATAAAAAATAGAAGAAAGAAAGATAAGGGAGACAGGATGTGTGCTGTGCAGCCACTGAATCCGCCATCCACTCAGCTATTGCCGTCTCACTGAAAGTGTGGTACGACGCTGATTTTCAGTGGATTCGGCGATGATTCGTGCGGCACGGAACACAGTGGACGTCACAAATATACAAATTGAAAATTAAAATTAATAATTTATTTTAATTATATTGTATGTATGTTAGTCCTTAAGGTATATATTATATGAGTGTTTTATTGTATTATTATCTATGCTAGTCTATAAGGTATGTATTTATGGATCTTTGTAACCTGAATACAAATAAATAAAAAATTAACTTATGCATAATAATCTCCATAATAGTTTTAGTTATTAAGGCAACACGATCGTTAATGATTAAATGATTGAATACCATTTGAGATTCACCTGCTATCTAATACTGTCATAATTGCAATATAATATCTGTGGAGTCGTAATTGAATTACAATGACTACAGTGGGTTCAAGAAAATTAGAGACTTGGGACCTCGGTAGGCACCTACTCGGTTTTGTGAACGCAAACCCCATTCTGTCCATGAGAGACATTTTTACAGACCGGCACGATTATAATGACTTCAAAGTTTTTTTTTAACTCCTATGTATATTGAACTTGCACAGTTTTCTTTACCAAGCTGTATTATTATAATAATATAGCCAATTCGTAAACCTTGCCCATATTTTACAGGAATGCCAAGCCATATACAGCAACCACAGAACCCAACTCTGGCAGGGTCAAATTTGCGCTGCTGGAAAGGAAATCAATCCTGCCTGTACAGCAGAAGGAGGTAGTCCTCTCGTGTGGGAGAACCCTAACAAGGTCTTTGAACTTATAGGGTTAGACAGCTTTGGACCAATATGTGGGAATGACGATTTACCTTCTGTTTATACGTATGTGTACGAGTATAATTCTTGGATCCATCAGAATATTGAATCCTAAGATTTCAGACTGAGATTTTCTAGTCTTTCTAAGACTGTTTGGAAAATTTTCCTTTTCTAATGTAATCCGCTATGCAATTCTATTAAATTGCGTGTTGGAATAGAGCAACATAGAATTTATATAGTGGATTAACGTGGAAAAGAGGAATATATATTATTTAAATTTTTTTAAATTTTAATATCATCCATATTTTATATAACAAACAGATGGAAATTATGGTGGAGGTAAGATCAAAGCATTTTGTGTTTTAATACATAAGCTTTCAAGTTGATTTAAAGTTAATAAAATTTATTGACTAATCTTGAGTTTTATTGAAAAAATGTATATACATATAATACGAATTTTATTCATATACCGTTGCAAAAATTATCGTTACCAATTTCGGAATAATAAATACAGACGGTGTTCAGGAACGACGCTCTTCGATCCTCTGCTTTATTCTTCCTTCGATAATAAAACTCCTTAATTTAAAGTGGACTGTATATTCAAATAAAAATGTCGATCTGACTTACAAAACAAGACAAGTGATTCCAAGAGTGATGAAAAGTGAATGATTATAAACTAAAATTTGCTTATATTTATACCGGCACGGTGTCTCCCACATCGTACCGGTCCTATCAATGGGTCGCTACGCCGCTCGGCCAATCAGAGCTCTTGAATTAATCATTCTCCTCTGGACTCTAGCTCTGACCGGCCAGGCGCGTACGGCCGTCCGTAACAGACGGTATACTAAATCAAGGTTCATTTTTCATCCAAATTCCCACCAATTTAGGAAAGTTCTTTTTGTAACCAAGTTGGGCAATTCCCGCCTGTTCGTCGTAAATGCCTACATTCGCTCGGAGCGTAGGGTTGTCACATTATTACTTTAGCTGTACCTATAGGTTGTAATTGTAGACATAATTTAAATAAGTTAAAGTGTTCTTCACAGTATTTTCGTGCTTTATTGAAACTTTTGTCAAATACAATATTTACGTATTGATAATTTTATACCAGCATGGGATTGGTACCTCAAATGACATTGAAATGGAATGTTAAACAATTCTGAATTTAAGACACTATTGTTTAAACCAAATAAATTGTATATGTAATGAATGGTGCTGCGACGACCCTCACTATGCAACGTGAGTGCACCGCAAGATAATGCGAATGTGTGCGTCTATACACGGCGCGCAGCGGGCGTGGACACATGCACATACGCGCCTTATAGTGAGTGTGTAAAAGGGCCTATTGTCGTGTCATGTGTTTGTATCCGAGAAGTAGCCAAACCTGTCACACGTTTGATGTAAATCTCGAAAAAAGTTAGAAATGAAAATTTAACCCTAGATTTTTCATTCGTTTTTGTTTAGTTTTATTTAGTAATTTATAATTAAAAATTAAAGAGACAAAATTAAGAATAAGCAAGGATAATTATTGGATATATATTCGATAGTCATCAAAGAATTTGTATATCTTGATAATTTCGAACCCTGAATTAAGTACAAAACCAAAATAATATGCTTAGTTCACTGGAGACATGGACCAAAAAAAGTGTGTTTTAACTTTAGGTCGAAATCATCAATAATTTTTTTTATAATATAAAAAAAATTAATAAAAAAGATTTATTTCTATAATATCAAGTAACGGCATATAGGTATAAGTTGTGCGCCTGAAGATAAGCCACACGCCTGTCCATAACAGTTACAGTGCCACTCAGAGCTTTAAATCGCAAAGATCTGAGAGGCACTGCCACTGCGCCCGCCACCCTGAGACATAAGTTGACAAGTCTCATGTGCCTGTAATTTCACCAGCTTTAAATCCTTACCCTTCAAAACCGGAACACAATAATGCTGACATTACTGCTTGGCGGCAGAAATAGGAAAGGTGGCAGGATTTCCCTGGACGAACTTTTTCACAAGGAGTTCTACTGCTACTAAATAGAACAGAAAAGATTTTCTTTATTTCAGGTATAGCATATACCTAAATTATTTGTAACTTTTCACTTGAACTTATAACACAACAATATAATATAACATTTTTTTTTAATATACACACATCAAAAGTGTCTAGGGATCAAGTACGTTTAAGAGTATTGCTGCAATTAGGGTTAATTATATTAACTTTTTTGTATCGCTATTGATACTTTTTAGTGAGTTTTAACATTTAAATAAGGAATATTGTTTAAAATTCGATAATAAGAAGAAAATCGATTGTCAATGTGGTTTTGTATAAAAATGACTTTGCGTTGCGTTTTGCGTTTGCGTTGCGTTGCGTTTTGCGTTTTGACAAAATCATTACAATATCTGCATCGGAACCGAAACAATTTACATTATTATGGAGAGACGACATCATTTAACCCGAGAAGTGATGATGCGAGCCGTCGGAATGTTGGAAGCTGGTTCCAGGCAACGTGCTGTGGCTTTCACTCTTAACACTACACAGAGCGTCATAAGTCGCCTCTGGACGCGCTATCGCATGACGGGCAGCGTGGCCGAGCGACATGGAGGACGATCTCGCATCACGACTCGCAGACAGGACGGGGTCATATCCAAAATACTGCTCGACGGAATCTTACCATGACCGCCATGATGTTGGTTACGAGGCTCCACAGCTCCTCAGGCTTGCTAATAAGCGATCAAACAATCCGAAATCGTTTACGTGAAGTGGGTCTGCGATCCCGAAGGCCGCTCAGAGTTCCACCTATTGCACCCTGCAATCGCAGGACCCGTTTACGATGGGCTCGCGAACACAGAAACTGGGAGGAAGAAGACTGGCGCTATGTGTGCTTTTCGGATGAATCCCGCTTCGGTATGAGACCGGATACAAGACGTACTCGAGTTTGGAGAACATCTGGACGTCATGAACGTTTGAGATATTGTCAGGAAGTTCATCCATATGGTGGGGGAACAATAATGATATGGGCCGGTATTTGGATCGGCGGAAGAACCGATCTCATTTGGATCAGGGGTAACCTCAATGCTCAAGTTTACGCAGAGAGGATTGTTTCAGATGTTATCATCCCTTTGCGAGGCCAGTTGGGTGATTCATTTCAACTAATGCATGACAACGCACGTCCACACACGGCTAGAGTCGTAACACGCATTCTTGCCGAAGCTCGTATCAACGTTCTGCCGTGGCCTGCTCAATCGCCAGACCTCAATCTAATTGAGCACGCATGGGATATGCTTCAAAGAAGAGCTGTGCCGAGTATGCATACCGTACATACTCTACAACAATATTTTGACTTGTTACAAAACACATGGGCGGCCATTCCTCAAAGTGATTTTGATGAACTCATCTTAAGCATGCCAAATCGCTGTAATTGTGTGATTCGTGTTAATGGTGGAAATACAGATTATTAATTTTCTTATCTTTACAATAAAAATGAGCAAAATCATCATTTTCGCCATTTTTTTGTCATTTAATTGACGCCGTTAATTTGAGTTTTTTCCCACAATTTGCAAAAACATCAATTTTAGTTTATTTTAATTAAATATAGGGGTAAGCGGTTAAATAAAACATAAGCATTAAAGTAAGAAGTCGTCCTGGAAGACTGGATTTGGTAAATATTGCTTAAATAATTTTTATTTCAAAAATATTCACTTGATCCCTAGACACTTTTGATGTGTGTATATAGAAACAGATTTGATTTGCCCAACCTAGCATTAGGATTAGGACCATTTTCAGGGTGCGGTTGGAACTACATATTATTTTACTTCGCATTATCGCTTCGAAGCCATCTATGTGGACTTCTGCGAACATGCCTGACCCAACAGCATCCTGGAAGCACTATTGTATTGGACGTGTGAAATGATTGAACACTATTTTGATGTCACGTCTGTGGTGCATCTCGCGAACCCGCGAGCCGAGGATAACATTAAGGATAGCTTCTCTCTTAAAGAAATTATGTGTATTTTTACCGGCATACTTAAATATTTGAGGAAATTTACTGTGATACCACAGTTATGATACCAGAGAAATACATGCACAAATATGGTTTGTATATCTGCCGCTTTACCCAACATGAGGATCCCGTAGGACATTGTACTATGGAAGTAACTAAAGTAAACTAGTCTAGCAGTGCTATAAGAGCTAATAATAATCCCCCAGGCAGTTGGTGTAGTTGTCAGGTATTAAAGAAAAAGAACGCCCCAAAATGGACCCTACGTATTTCTTTTCAGTATTAACATTAAGAGTTAATTTAAGAATGGATAATTTTCCGACGTTGTACCCTACTGAACTAAATACTGAATAAACATAATTTTGAACCAAACCAAAACTGTTTTTAGCTCAATATATTTTCTTTAATCATCTTCAACTACTTATTTAACTTTTACGTTCGATATTATAAACATGACTATAACACTTAACACAAACCTGTTATATCTAAGTATCTAATTATCTATTTTTCCTTACAAGACCTGATGGTTTTAATTGTTTTCCTAAAACATTAAATGATTAACTGCTAATGTATTCTCTACATGACGAGGTTATATATATATATAAAAGATTTAACATTGGAAGAGGGCATCAAAGCTCGGTTGGCGGCCACCACTGGAGCACGTTTAAGCAAAGGAATTACAAAATAATAATTTTGGAATTCCAGTTTCAGTTCTAGTGTCATTCGAAATTTAAAATGTATTCATTTCTTTTAATATCAGCTTTGATAGTCTCGTATCTTGGCATTGTAGACGGAAGTAAGTTATTATCCTGTTTACATTGACTTACAATTATATGGACGGGTCATCGCTAAAAAGTGTCCGAACTTATAGGGCGTTAAAATCTTATACAGAGCGTCATTCACGCTTCAGTCTTCGTTTGTTTCTTCTGACAGCGAAGCAAGCAAAATTAGACAGTACTACGATGACATTACAATTTAAATTCAACGTTTTAGCTTTTTCATATTCCTTTACATGTCACTACGTTTAAATAGGTTGACTTGGGACATTTTTTTCGTGGTTTTTGTATTAGACCCGTCGTCCATTTATTTGTAAGTCAATGCCTGTTTATAATGTTTTCTTAATTTGCCGTTTCAAAATTATTACATAGCAGCTTTTTTAAATTTAGTAATGCTTAAAGTATCATGTAATTTATTGTTAAAATATTGTTCGACATTTACCGTGGATAAATGAAAAAATAAAGACAAAAGTATAAAGTATGTTTATAACAGTGATATTAACTATGAATAGAAATACAAATAACTAATAAAGGTTAAGCTTGTTATGTGTTCAAAACGTATTTACGTTGTCCGTAAATAGTTACGCTATCTTTTTATCGTTTACAGGGGCCTTACCATGAACTCTTATTACAGTTCAGTATAAGTTCGTAACGACAGATAAGCGGGATCAATGCTAACTCACAACGATTCATTTTATTTAACGCTATCTCACAACGATTCATTTTAGGTCCTAAACTGAATCGTAATAAGAGTTCATGGTGAGGCCCCGGAAGTAATTTTTACTCCAAACACGAATTTATTGTCTAATTTTTCAACTATAAACTATGCGCTCTATTGTCCGCAAATAATTACGTATATTTTTTCATTTACAAAAGTAATTTTTTCTCAACACACGAATGTATTGTTTAGTTGTTCAACAGTAAAACAACGATGGCAGCCGGCATCGTAAAGTTTTTGAAAGAAAATTACTTTGTTATTAATTGCCTTACCTATTTCTATAACAAACATATCAATAGGTTATTTATAGAATAAGCTTAACTATATCATAATAATATACCAGAATAATTCTACAACAAAATATAATGATTGTTTTAATAAACACCATGTGTTGATGACCTATTCGCAAATTTATGTACGTCATCATTTGATCATGCCCAACAAAATCTATATCCTTGAGCAATGCCACACGGGCGCTGCCGGTGCGTTGCGTCCTCGAAACGCTATGATTTCAATTTCAACTCACCGAGTATCACCAGAAGAAATCACCACACGTATTAACGCAGTATCGCATTAATCCGGGCAGAAAAAGTAAATGTCCATGAAAGTAAGGGCGACAAAGACGTTGTGCATTTTTATTATAAACAATATGTGTATAATATTTGACCTCCATCTCACCTAGTGGAAAGTGACGATGAGGTCTTCGATGAAGCGTGCATTCCCGTTACTTGGGCTCCCATTTTCCAACAGTCGGCCAGCGGTGCGCCGTGTTTTGAATCCTGCTAGCCCCCAGAACCGAGTGCTCAGTGTGGCAGTACAAGTAACTACAACTCGTTGACAGATGCAATGCAGCGTTCAGACCCGACCGCCTAATGGCAACTCGCGAACACGAGTCGGAACCCGGTAAAAACCTGTGACCACTCGACTGCGTCAGAAGGGTGGTAACTAGCCATGGCCGAACCCTACCACCAGTACATGTTACTCGTTTAGCACCACCCAAGGGGTCATTTGTAGGGTCTCGAGGGTAGACATACGGAAGCAAGCAACATCAATCCCCAGTTTAGCACCGATCCCTCCCCGCTTCGCCTCCTGGCCTTTGTTCGTTGCGCATGCCGTCTGTCACAGCGCACCGTTTCAACACACCATGTGGCATGTGGGCAACACCAAAAAATTCAACATTCAGTATAGTAAGAATCTATATATTTCAGGCGGCGAAACAACAAAAGTAGACCAATATCCTTGGATGGCCTTAATCGAGTACCAGTAGGACAACAAGATCAGACTTTCGATATGTGCTCACAGCTGCGTCTTGTTTCCCTAGACCCTTGATTGAAACTGTTCTTCCGTAAGTGACTATTTTTATGTTAAAATCTTAGTTATAATTGTCTGTGTTAGTTCTACGTCGCTAAGTATTGACTTTAAAAATCCAATATCCTTTTCACATCACGCTGCTTTCAAGTATAACTAAAAGAAATCTTAGCACCCCAAGCAATTCGTCAAAAATAGCTCATTTTCTATAACTACTTTGGTTGCAGAAATGCTCGCCCATAGTTACATCCTTGCTTCAAATCCTTTATCCGATTTGTTTTTAATCTACTGATCCTCGTTTCTAAATTTTTACTTAATTACCAAGTGGTTCCTATTGTACCTTTGTAAGTCAGACTTTAAAGTTTGCATTTACACTATTCCAGCCGCAACGTGCGTGTAGGTGAATTCGACGTATCAAACGAGGTACACCAGCCAGACTGTGTAACTTCCACCGAAGGCGGCTCTGATTGTACTGAAGGCCCTGTCATGATACCTATTGAAAAAGTCATCTCATATCCAGATTACAACCATCATGATAGGAAGACGAAGAAACATGATATTGCTTTGATACGCATGAGTAAATCAGCGCCTGATTCCAGTAAGCTAAAAAGAATAATTGTAAACGTAAATTCTAACCTGAATTAAATGCATCTCAGTGTGACAGGAAATATACAACTAAAAGAAAGCTTTAGACCCATTGACTTACAAATAAATGGACGATGGATCTAATACAAAAACCACGAAAAAATTGTCCCAAGTCAACCTATTTAAACGTAGTGACATGTAAAGGAATATGAAAAAGCTAAAACGTTGATTTAAATCCGGAAAAATAGTTTCATTCCTATCTAAAACGTTGAATTTAAATTGTAATGTCATCGCAGTACTGTCTAATTTTGCTTGCTTCGCTGTCAGTCGAATAAACGAAGACTAAAGCGTGAACGACGCTCTGTATACGATTTTAACGCCCTATAAGTTCGGACACTTTTTAGCGCGGACCCGACGTCCATACAATTGTAAGTCAATGTTTAGACCATAGTTTCACATCCGTGAGACTTAACATGACCTTGAGTCTTACTTATTTGTGACAGATTACGAGGTTTCCCTTAATCTTCAAAACTGAATCATCTAAGTTAAAAACGTGTAGTCTATGACTGAGGGATCAGCAAGCAAATAGGGCAGCAGCGTCCTAGGGTATATTTGCATCCAAATTGCGATCTTCAAAAATATTATTTCAAAATCCCCCAAATGAAGGCGAAAACGAAACCCAGACCCCTAACCCCCGGCGGCTCCGTTATTGTCAGCTACAGTAACGGTCATGGTAAAGTTAATCCACGGCACAGGTCCGGCTACCACATCTAACGACTACTGACCCTATCACCCACGAGGTGGATCAATGATTTGGTGAAGGTCGCAGGAATCAGCTGGATGGAAACAGCGCAAAACCGGTCGTCGTGACGATTTTAGTAGGCGGCCTATGTCGCGGACGTCGTTCGGCTAAAGTGATGATAATGACGATGAATTTAAATATAATTTAAAAAATAACATCCTGGGCTACGCTAAGAATTAAACTTATAACCTTATGTTTATACATCTCTCCCAATGCAACTGTGCTGTGACCCAAATCATTTCCCTTTGACTACGTCTGAGGAAAGGTTTAAATTTCTCAAACATTTAACAACAAAATATTCTCATTTCAGAGTTTATTCATCCAATCAGCCTACCCACATCCGACATAACTTTATCACCGCCTACCGGCTGGCGGCTGATTGAGGCAGGTTGGGGCGGTGTTTATTCTCCTGAGAGATCAAATAAAGTAAAGATGGACGTGAAAATACCGTTTGTGCCACTTGCTGTGAGTAATATTTGACAGCTCCAATATCAGTTAACAAAAAATTACTTTCTATTATTTTAAATTAGAGGTACCTGCCAGTTTTGATACCTGGTAGAAGAAATCTGAAACCTTAATAATTAGTTCGTGACTGGTTGTTTTGATAGTGCCCACGAGTGATTTCGCTAAACTGCATCCCAAGTCTGCTAATTTTAAATCATCTCGTTGTGTGTCGATAGAGTGTCAATGACAGGATTTTGTTTATTTGGTATTTTGTTAATAGATAAAGGGTAGTGGTTTGCCAATGGCTAGCAGCAGCCATTGAGCTAATATTCAATTGTCGCTGCAATTTTTTGGTGTTCTGCTCTTCAATGGCGAACTAACTTTTAAGCAATTAATCCGCGATTTCATAACTTTCTTCTCGTTTCTTACCACGGTATGACTTCTTTTTAGTTTCCCGATATTTCGGAACGGTTGACGACGTGTGTGTCGCGAATATACGAGTAAACTTAAATAAATTACATAAATATTTCTATAATGGCAGGACAAGCGGCCGCGGCCGCGCGCCCGCCATCGCACCGCGGGGCACCCGCGCGCGCTCGCACCCCACCACTTCACGCTCGTCCAGCTGCATGCCGAGCTTAGTGGCACAGGCCAGCGTAATGTGGATGGGGTTCTCTCCATTTTCCTCCGCCACGCCGCTGAGCTCGACCTCGTTCAGAAGCAGCTCCTGATTGCGATCGTTTAAATCTTGTTGCAATCTCTCCACATTCATTTCCAGCGCCTGGATGACCTTAGCAAAACTTGAGTCAGTCCCAGCACCACCCGCCCTCTCTTTCAATATCGTTTGCACCGTTTCCTCCATCTTGTCCAGACGATTTTCACAGGAGCGCACCATCGATCGTAATTCAAAAAGGTCCTGACGCAGGCCTTTAAGCTCCTCTCTGGTCTGACTCATGCGGACAGCTCGGAGTTCACAATCGAGACTCGGTTCCTCCGAGTCTCCCGCAGTCTCATATAGCCACCGCGAGTCAGTGTTCTGAACTTTTGGAGAACTGCTTCGTACATCCTTCACATTCTTTGTTATATTGTTTTTTACAGATAGGACATGCGACATTTGCGCCCTCTACCGTTGGTATAAATTTGCAACACGAAATGCACTTAACCACCATATCGAACGCAGATAAGGGCAGTAGGGTCACTAAAGAGTGCGATTAATTTCCGCGAGGGGTCGCTGTACCTACTCTGATTTATGACACTGACGAAATGTTAATGTATTTGGCGGTATTTAATTTTTTTTGGTTTATATGGTACCTTATGAATATATTAAATAATAAGTATTACCGATGTGAAAAATGACTTTTATGTTGTAAATTTCGTGATTATTTCCACTCCCGTATTACAGTATCGACACTGAAACTGACACAGTTCTTTATTTATAAGTATTATTTATGAACAATACTGCTTACTATTTTTATTTTGGAAATAAGCGACACACAAAAAGACGTCTGTGACGTCACTCAATATAGTCTACATCTACAAATATAGTCTCAATAGAGTCTCAAGGGAATTACAATGACTTCATGCAGTGGCTTCAAGAAAATTAGCAGACTTGCGACCTCGGCTGCCACCTACTCATTCTTGTGACAAACCACATCTGCCAAAGAAATATATTTTTACGGGCACGATTAAAATGAGCTTTTCGAAGTATTCCTTCCAAAAATCATACAAATATTGAAACTTGCACGGTTTTCATACTCAAACGATAATTAGCCATTTCGTAAACCTTGCTCTATAATTTACAACTACAAACACAAAACAAATAACATTGATACAACAGATAAACCGCGACATCTTCCATATAATTTAAAATTATTCTATCATATATATATTAGTCGTTAAAATTATTGATCAATCTATGTTTAACTAAATTATTTCTCAGATATTATTATTATTGTGAACATTTTTAATTTTTTGTATTGTAATGTACTCTCTTTCTTTCTAACTAACTAACTTTCTTTCTTTCTTACAGGAATGCCAAACTGTATACGGCAATCGCAAAATCGAACTATGGCAGGGTCAAATTTGCGCTGGTGGTGAGGAAGGTAATCCTGTCTGCACAACAGAAGGACGTGGTCCTCTCGTGTGGGAGAACCCTAACAACGTCTTTGAACTTATAGGGATAGAACTTATAGAGTCAACTTTGGACCAGCTCCTTGCGGAACGGACAATGTACCTATTGTTTATACGAAGGTGTACGAGTATAATTCTTGGATCCATCAGAATATTGAATCCTAAGA